TCTGGGTGATAAGGCACAGAAGTAGGCTTTACACAGAAAGCTTCAAATAGTTGATAGCCAGGCTGCTCAATGAAACAACCAGCAGTACCAAGCAGCTGGATTCCCAGTACTTATTAACCCTCCCCCACTTGCTAGCCACTCTGATGAAGTATTTTAAACTCACTTCATGATCTATTACCAAAGTATTTATTCCCTTAATGGGAGATATAGATACGTAAATCCTACAATAGGCTTTGTTTGAACCAATAAAGACAGTGCTTCTACAGAACAAAGCTCTTGAGATGTGTAAGGTGCTACATGCCTAAAATCCTGAACTTAGCAGACAGAGGTAAGAGGATCAGGAGTTCTGGATCACACTCAGCTACATGGTGGGTTTAAGGCCAATCTGGATTACATGAGACCCTGTAAATATTTAAAGAATTAAGAAGTGAGGGGAAAAGGAAAGAAGAGAGAGAGAGAGCTAGAGAGCTCACTGTCTGACGACATGAATTTGAAGTCTATTACTATGTCTTGGATTGTGTTGTATAACTGGGGATGATTTGAAGCATGTTCACCTTTTCTGGATGACCTCATATGAATTTCTTTATAATCCAAGTTTATTAATAACTTTTGATAATGTTATCAAGGATGGAAGGAAGATAGTAAGTCACTTGGTTGTACACTTATAAATTTATAAGCATTCATTTTTAAGCTGGGTCTTCAGATTTCAAGGCATCGTTCCTCCCTATGTGATCCCACTTTCTCAGGGACTTTTACACCCCTGTAAAATGGGATGAGAAGGGAAATAATAGGAAAATAATGATCTGTACATAATACAAATAAACGAACATGCCAGGGAGAGGAGCTTGTAGGCTAGGTGAACAAAAAAGCTGGCTCCTGACAGCTCAGCTAAATGTGACTTCTTCTAAGAATTTTGTATATCACGCCTGTCATAAACATTCAACTTTATTGTGCAATGAAGACAGATGAGAAGAATTTGCTGTTGCAACAACACCCCTCCCCCCACCAAAAGAGTAACTTCCTTATGTCCTTGGAATCTGACTTCCTCAGCTCCAAATGCGCAGGCGAAGGAAGACTTGTGCCTGTGTGCAAGGACTGAAGGCAGTTGTTTATGTGACTAATTGGACATCCACATAAATATGGGAATTGGGGCAGGTTCCTCTATTGTCATCTGTTGTAAAGCCAGTGCTTACTCTACACTGAAGAGGCGTGCAGACTGGAGAGGGATGAACCATTTAGCTGTCCTTTGATGACTCTCTTACATAAGCTTCAAGGTCACAAAATGTTCTCCATTTTGTTTCCAAGTAACAAGAGGAAAATAAACAGGCTCGAGGAGTCACTTACCAGGAGGAGAAGGGGCTTGGGAGATTCTAGTTTAAGGGACAATCTTAGTTGGTGCTGTAACATGGAGACATACAGAAGAGATTGAAGATGGAGGGATTGGCCAGAAGTATCCCAAGGCAGGCAGATGAAGAGAATTGAGTAGAGAGTTGACTGTGGACAGGAGGAAAGACACGCCTTCCTTGAAGACAGGTGCTGAGGGCAGTCAAGGAGCTTGGAGGGAGTTTAGGCACTGAGGAAAAGAAAGCTGAGAGAACTCAAATATCTCATCCTCAAGTTAGGAGATGTCTCCTTTTGAGGAGTATGAGGAGAACTTAGGTTTGCAGAAAGTTTGTCCCAGGCCAAGTAGAGAATGCAAGGGAGTGAGATTGTGTAAAAGCTTGTACTTATTGGTGGTTCTCAAAGGGTTGCAACCCTTTAGGGGTTTCACAGGGGTCATCTAAGAACATCAGAAAACACATATATTTACATTCTGATTCATAACAGTAGCAAAATAACAATTATGGGGAACAGAGCTAAAGAGAGAATTCTCTGCAGAGGAATATCGAATGGCAGAGAAGCACTTAAAGAAATGCTCAACCTCATTAGCCATTAGGGAAATGCAAATCAAAACAACCCTGAGATTTCACCTTACACCCATCAGAATGGCCAAGATGAAAAACTCAAATGACAACACATGCTGGAGAGGATGTGGAGAAAGGGGAACCCTTCTGCACTGCTGGTGGGAATGTAAACTTGTACAACCACTCTGGAAATCAATCTGGCGCTTTCTCAGATAACTAGGAATAGCGCTTCCTCAAGATCCAGCCATACCACTCCTAGGCATATACCCAAAAGAGGCGCAAGTACACAAAAAGGACATTTGCTCAACCATGTTTGTAGCAGCTTTATTTGTAATAGCCAGAAGCTGGAAACAACCCAGATGCCCCTCAACTGAAGAATGGATGCAGAAATTGTGATATATCTACACAATGGAGTATTGCTCAGCAATGAAAAATAAGGAAATCATGCAATTTGCAGGTAAATGGTGGGACCTGGAAAGGATCATCCTGAGTGAGTTGTCCCAGAAGCAAAAAGACACACACGGTATATACTCACTCATATAAACATACAATATAGAATAAACCCACTAAAATCTGTACATCTAAACAAACTAAGCAAAAGAGAGGACCCTAACTAAAATGTTCAATCCCCATCCTGAAAGGCAAAGAGGATGGACATCAGAAGAAAAAGAAAACAGGAAACAACCTCGGAACCCGCTACAGAGGGCCTCTGAAAGCCAGAAGAAAACAGGAAACAACCTCGGAACCTGCCACAGAGGGCCTCTGAAAGCCTCTGCCGTGCAGACTGTCAAAGCAGATGCTAAGCCTGATGGCCAACTGACGGGCAGAGTGAATGGAATTTTATGTAAGAAGTGGGAAATAGTAAGAGCTGGAGAGGACAGGAACTCCACAAGGAGAGCAACAGAACAAGAAAATTTGAACACAGGGAACTTCCCAGAGACTCATACTCCAACCAAGGACTATCTGTGGAGATAACCTAGAACCCTGACAATGCAGCCACTTCTGATGAGAACTGATAGACTAAGATCAGAAAGAAGGAGAGGAGGACTTCCCCTATCAGTGGACTTGGGGAGGGGCATGCATGCAGAAAGGGGGGGGAGAGTGGGACCGGGAGGGGAGGAAGGAGGGGCTTATGGGGGGATACAAAATGAATAAAGTGTAATTAATAAAAGTTAAAAAAAAAAACAAAGTTGAAAGAAAAATAATTTTTCGGTTGGGGGGTCACCACAACACGAGGACCTGTACTAAAGGGATGAAGCATTAGGAAGGTTGAGAACTACTGGCTTAGATCGTGTTTTCAAAATCCTGGAGCTAGGGAATGCTCGGGGGTCATCAGATCTAAGTTCTTATTTTGTGAGGGCTGAATGGAACCATTATGCTTGAGCAGATCAAGAAAACAGATAGCCAAAGTACTGGTGAAAATGAGGGAGAACTTAGAGTTTTCCACATGGGCATGGTGGTATAGTCTTGTAACACTGGTACTCAGGAAGCTGAGGTAAGAGGATGGCAAGTTCCAGGGCAGCCTGGCCTGCACAACAAGATCAAGGGCAGCCTGAGCTGTTTGGTGGGACATTGTCCGCACATAAGCAATAGCAACAAAATGCATAAAATGAGTAAATGAATAAATGCTCCAAAGGAACACCTTAAGAGCCCCTGCTTGATTATGAAGACTTTTAGCGTACCTCTGGCACAACTCTCACAACCACAAAGCAGCTTTTGACCAGGCAGAGTGAGGTGTTATTAGACAAAAGCCTTATCCTAACATTGATCTGCTTTCTGGAATGTTCTACCTGTGGCCAGCCGGCTGTATATGGCCCAGGATAGCTATGAATTTGGCCCAACATAGTTTTAGATAGCAATATTATATCATGCTGTCAAGAGGCTGAACACCTCTGTTACGAAATGGAGGTTAAAGGGGATGAGTAGTCATTTTTTTGTGAGCACAGGTCTCTCTTGCCAAGCAAAGAATCACAGTTGCGTCATTAGAGTTATGCAGTAGAGTCCTGGGTCACACTGTACTTTGGTAAGCCACTCAGAGATGTTTGTCTCACTCCCAACATGTCTCTTTCCCCTTCTCTTAACCAACTTAATAGGCTCTACGTAAAAGGCATCTGTACATGAAAGGCATTTTTTTTTTGCTATGGAAGAGCAAACTCTAGCAAGCTCTTCATTATCTTCAGTATGGTTTAGTTCTAACAGGTGAATGTATTCTGTATGCAAGGCCTACCTTCCCTAACTGTAGCTCAGGAATGCTGTGGGGAAGACAGAGGATGGCACGTTCCAACCTCATCCCTCTGAATACAACTACAGTAAAGCCAGCAGTAATCTTACAGGATCAACGAGGTGGCTTGGCTAAGCCACGAGTGGGTCATCCTACCTCACCAGTCCTGGCCGTTTTCACATTGACAAACTTCAGATGATTAATCAGCTGTCAAATTGGGGAATGGTGAAAGGCCAAGTGAAGGCTGTGTTGTTCTTTCAGAATCTGAACATTTTATTCTGAGTATTATCAGTTTTTAAACAATGACAACAAAATGATGCCTTTTGGATTTGGTTAAAGAAACCTCTCAGATTGTTGTGGGTTTGTTGTTGTTAGTGGTGGTATTTGGTTTGGTTTGTTTATAGGGACAAAAGGAAAGAATGTGGTGTAGGAGGAGGGCTGACTACATTGAATGCTGTCCTGTCTTTGATGCCTTTTGGGAGGTTGTTCTCTCTCTACCCCATTCTTGTGGTGGTGATTCCCCATGTTCAAGAGAAATTTGTAAAGCTGCACTGAGTTCTGTGGCAAGACAGAATAAACCGTCCAGCTGAATTAAAATGCCCTTATGTCTCTTCACTGGTAACCTTCTGGGATAGCATCTAGCTCACATCTGCCAAATTTCAGTCAAAACTCTATCCTATTCCTTCCTTTAAACTACAATCCTTCCCCTTAATGCGTGTGGCTGTGGTCTGGCCACTGCTTGGCTTGAAGCATGACATTTGCCTTGTGTTGTTTCCATTGCTCAAGTGGTCAGCCAGAGCTCTGGCTGCTCCCTGACTGCCACCCCAGGCAGGCTTGCCATGTGGAGTAAAGTAAACAGAGATTGTATTCCACAGGAGAATATGTTGACGAGCAAGGCCACTGCCAAGCCTGCGAAGCCTCATGTGCCAAGTGCAGGGGACCAACTCAGGAAGACTGTACCAGCTGCCCCATGACAAGGTGAGTGACTTCTTAGTAATTCCTGGGGATGGCGTGTAAAGAGGATTGCTGACTACCTCAGTGTCACCTAACGGGCCTGCTGGACACACGACCCAAACTCTTTCCCATGGCACAGATATTCCCTATGGCCTGGCTACAACTCCCCTCAGTAGCATCGTCTTCCATTAGGTACAATACCCTTGGCAAAGACTGATTTCCTAAATGCTGGATGAGCTATTTTATTAATGAAAATGGTACCTTTGATTTCACTTTTGACCAGTACAACTCCATACTCTACACACTTATCGTTCAAACAGCATTTCCGTTCTCTATAATCAATTCAAGGAAAAACTATTGTATAAAGGCATTTCTGACCACTTCCCAGCAGAATTAACCTCCCCTCCTTAAAAAAATACATTTGCTCCCATGCTCCTATTTCATAAAATTCCCTGCACTCTGTCCAAAGTTTGGCTATGAAGAGGGAGGGCAGGTGGGATTGTGAGGGGATGAGGAAGGGGCTACAGCTGGGTTACAAAGTGAATAAATCAAAATAAATAAAAATAAGTAAATAAAAAGAAAAAAAGAAAATTTCCTAGTCTAAAAGACAAAAAAAAAATTGTTAATTCATTATTTATTTATGTGTGGCCTATATACATACATACACGTGGGCCACAGTGCTTCTGTGGCTATCACAGGACAAATTATGGTAGCCTAACATGTGACTCCTGGAGAGCCAACTTAAGTTATCAAAGCCTAGTCCTTTATGACCTTCTGCTCTACAGACATGCCTATCAGAGCACATGCAGCCTTCAGAGACATCTGGAAGGGTCTGTTTACAAATGCATGTCTCCTTTAGAGAGTGAGCTTCTTGAGATCGTACATTTGCATCTCGTTCCCTAGAACAGCGCAAGGAGAAATGGAGATATAAATACATGTCAAAAGAAAATAGCAAGACATGGAATGAGAGACACTGCTAATCTAATGAACATCTCCGATAAAGAGAACTGAGCACCTGATATATTTTTATTCAACATTCCTCTGATGTAGCACTTAATACTTGGGAGCTTCTGGGTGTTTGAATGAATGACCTCATCCCTGCTCAGCTAAATGTGTAAGAAGCTGAGTCTCTCCCTAGACAAGCTGGATGAGGATGCTGTCACAGAAGGGGTGCTCCACAATCCTACTGAGACACCCCCGCCGCACAGGTGTCATTCTGTCCCCATTCTTCCTCAGGACTGTGACAGCCCTGTGAGCAGGAGCCGTGAGGTGTTTATTTCCTTATTCTCCACAGTGATCAGCAGGTAGCAACAGTTTTATAACCATTTGCTTGTGGCATCGTGTGTCAGCATGGTCGTGGGATTGACTGTCAGAAGAACACCCTCAGAAGGAGAAAGCAAATAATAAAGAGCAAAACCAAAAGGAAGGATGGAAGGAGAGAAGGAAGCTGAAGGGAGACAAAAAAAGAGGAAAAACCAGAAACCCCAAAAGTTTTCAGTGCTAACTATGAGACTGTTTCTTTTTTTAATTAAGATTTTTAATTTATTGTTCCACTGATTTTTATAATATATTGTCCATATTCCAGTCTCATCATTATCCTAATATGATTCACAGAATTTTTTCCAGAATCTCATTCTCATGTTTTTTTTTTCATTTGTAACATTTCTTTTGCCTTTTTTTGTTCGTTTTACCTTTCCTAACTGTGATAGGTTTGAAGATTGAATAGGCCTGTTGTTCTCAAGTTTCAGTACAGTTATTTCTCATTTTAAATTGTTTCTTTCTTTTAAAAAAATAATTCTTTTAAAATCTCATATACTGCAGTTTAATCATATTCACTCCATCCTCTAACTCCTCCCAGACCCACCCCTCAAGTGTGACTTTTTTTTTCTACCCATCCAGCCCAATTAGTGATGCTCATATATCTTGGATGTGTGGCCTTCTGCTGGAGTGTGGCCAATTTACCAAGGGCTACGTTCTTAAGGAAAAAAAAAAAAAAGCTTCCTCTCCCAGCAGCTATCAGTTGCCAATAGCTCCCCAGCTGGAGGTGGGACTTCCTGTTGACCTCTCCTATCCACGTTGGGATATCTGTTTTACTTAAGCTTGCACTGGGGCTCATACATGCTGTCACAATCGCTTTGAGTTTATATCTTCCCTGCTGTATACGAAGGCCCTTGTGCCTTATGGTTATCCCCTACCCCTAGCTCTTTAGAATCTCTGTGCCACCCCTTCTGCAATGATGTCTGAGCCTTGGGAGGAGGGGTTGTGATATCGATGTCCCCCGCAGGGCTGAGCATTCTGCGCTCTCTTAATCTCTGTACCTTGGCTGGTTGAGGGTTTCTGTGTTAATTGCCACCTACTGCATACCGAAGCTTGTCTGATGACAGTCAATAGATGAGTTAATCTATGGGTATAATGATAAGTCATTAGGAATTGGCTTAATGAAATGTTCTTTTAGCAGAATGTTAGTGTTAGTTTCTTTCCTGGTGCCTATCACCTGTCTAGCCATAGGTGCTTGGCCTGATAATAGTGCCATGGATGAGTTTCATGTTGTTGTGCTAGAATTAAGTCCAACCAGAAAGTTTTTGGTTAGTTCCATGCCACTATTGTACCATTGGGCTTGTCTTGTCAGGCCAGATGTTACTGTAGCTTGCAGGATCAGGGCCGGGTAAGAATGATGATTACTTTTCTCCTTTGGTAATGTACATAGCGTATCCCAAAACTATGAACACTATCCAGTAAAGATGAAGCATCCGAGTACCAGCTGAATTTCTCCATGTTTTATGTTTTCCTATGTGTCTAATATACTTTATACATGCACCTATACTTACATCTATATAGTAGGCAGCTTCCACAGTAATGGGTGTGTTTTCTTATGGCTTTTTTAAAAGTTCAATGGTGTTATTTACTTAACCACTCCTATATTCCCTCCTCTACCCTAGCCTCCCATTCACCACTCAAAAAATTTAACCTCTTCTGTTCTATTAATCTTTTTTGAGCCTATATACCATTTATTTCTATCTTCCCTCTCTTGGACCTCCCCACCATAGTAGCTTACTAATTTCTAGACCTCTTTGGATATTCCAGATGAATCAAACATGTCTGAAAAGTCAAAGCTAGTATCCACAAATGAGAAAAAAGATATGATGTTTGCCTTTCTGAGTCTGGGTTACTTCACTCAGAATTATCTTTTTCAGTTCCATCCACAGCACAATTTCACTGTGCTTCAATCATAATGACTCAAATCAAAAGAACAAATGCTGAAAATATTGGAAAGCATGTAAGAAAAGAATATTTATTCACTGCCAGTGAGGCTAGAACAGTTACTATGAAAATCAGTGCAAATGTTTCTCAAAAAGCTAGAAATCTATCTGTCACATGATCCAGCTATGATACTCTTAGGCATATACCCAAAGGATTCTATTTCTTATTACAGAGATACTTGCTCATTAGTGTTCATTGCTGCAAGGAAATAAACCTAGGTGTTCATCAACTGATGAATGGACAATGGAATATGGTATATTAACACAATAGAATATATTCAGCCAATTAATAAAAATGAAATTGCCTTTTAAAATTATCTATTTATTTTGTATTCTTTGAAAGTTGTATGAATGTATATAATAAACTTTAGTCCATTTCATTTCCTAGGGCCTCTTTTCTTTTCTCTTCTAACTCCCACTGAAACAATTCTTGCCAATTTCTCATGTTTGTGTCTGGCTGTGTGTGTGTGTGTGTGTGTGTGTGTGTGAGAGAGAGAGAGAGAGAGAGAGAGAGAAATCCATTGAGTTTAAATAATGCTGCCATCATGAGCATGAATGGGAGATCATTTAGTATAGCATGCACAATTTGTCAGTGGCCACACCACTGGAAAAAAAAATTATGATCCTTCCTCCATTCTCCATTAACTGTCAACAGTCCCATGGAGACTAGGGGAAGGGCAGAGGAAACATTTCATAAGCCCTTTCTTCTTCTATATTGAAATGTTGATGGACCCAATCTTTTTCACATCTCTTGTATTTAACCACAGCTGTAACAACTTCATGGGTGCATTAGCCATGCCATGCCTAAAAGATACTGATTCACAGCCATCTTCTCTAATTGCTCTCTACTCCTTATTCCATAATTCTTCTTGAGTCTTTGGAGGGTAGTAATTTAGATGTCCCATTTAGGGCCAAGTCATTTATTCTTTGTGCTTTGACCAGATGTATCTGAATCAACTGTTACCTAAAAGATCTCTAAAGAGCGAGAGCTGAAATAATCGACAAGGGTAAAGATATGTATTTAGAAGGCAGCTTGATACTATGGCTATTTAGCAAAATAATAGTATGTTCTACAAATGCCCTATCACTTTCCCTAGCCTTGGGTTCTTAGCCAGGCTTATAGTACCCGGTATAAATTACTTTAAGTCCAATCAGAAAGCAGTTGATTATCCCTATAACATTCATGCCACTATTGTACCAACAGGCATGCTTTGCCAGGCTGGCATTATTATAGCTGTCAGGCACAGTTGGGTGGACTGTTGATGACTTTTTCTGTGAGCAGCCATAAGACTATTTTCTACATGTTTCTAAGAATTTAACCTCTAAATATTGAATTTGCTTTAAAGAAACTTCAAAGCACACTTAAGACATAAAGACATTACCAAAACAAAGTTCTGTTTCTCCTTTTGACCCCCATTTGTATTATTATGAATAATTAAATTGCCTTGCATGTTTGAACATCTTTGAACACTTGTTTAATGAGGCAATTATAATCATCCAGTGTACACTGAAGAAACCATGATTGTCCTTAGCAAAAATAGAAATGAAAAGTGAAAATACAGTTCTATCACCATAAATTAAAATCTAGGCACAGGGGCAAGCATGGCAGTGAGAGCAAGGCAGGATGATCTCAGGTTTGAAGTCCATCTTAGCTACATGGTGAGATGAAGAACAACAAGAAAATCTAGGCCTGTTAGCACAAAATGAGAAATAACATTACTAGGACATTTTGGTGGTTTTATTTATGAAGTATACTATTAGCTCTTGAATAAAGAAAAGAATACACATGAATCTTGAACCAGGGTAACTTCCTAAGAAAAATACTGTTCTTAGGAACAATTTCTTCTCATTGCTCAAAGCAATCCTCCCTCCTCCACATCTTTCTTCTTTGATGTTAGCTACACACACACACACACACACACACGTCCAAGAAAGGGTAATGTAGCATGGCAATGACCTACTTGACTTCTTAAATTTTTTTTGGTATTTTCCCTAAGGGGAGCTCAAAAGATGAAACAGAAGAAATTATCCAGAAAGAAGGTGAGATTGACTTATTTGTTCTTGAGAAAATGGCAAAGTATTTTTATTTTCCAAGGTGTTTCCTGAATCACTGTCTTGGCTCATTTGGAAATGCTATAACACAATACTTGAGACTGGATAAACTATAAACAATATGACATTGGCTGAATGTTACTGCAGACTGGGAGATCTGTGTACATGGCACTGGCCTATGGCAAAGGCATTGGTGCTGGGTCATCCTATTGCAAAAGATAGATCTGCTTTGGTAGCTAACTTATTCCCATTATCACATCATCAGTTCAAATATTGAGTAACATTCCTCACCTCCTAGTCCCCTTATATTAAACCTTACTTCACAACATTGTTACCTTATAGATCAAGTTGCCAACACATACGTTTTGTAGAACACATCCAAGCTATAGTAAGCAGATTTGGGTCCATGCAAAGCAGAGCAAAAGCATTTGCTTTATATTTAGCTCTGAGATAGATCCAAAGTTCAACATCTCTTTAGGATACTGTCCCTTCCATTGAGGTAGACATTTGCCAGATGCTGGAGCAACAGAGGATGTAGCCTCTGCCTGGCCATAGAAGGAAGAAGCTAGGTTGGATAGAATAGCCCGGTTTCTCTTGTCCCAACCTTAGATTTCTTGGTGATGTTTCCTCTTGTTTAAAACTAACTGGAGGTCAGTGGGGGTTTTCACAAATAAGGATAATTGATGAGCCTGAGATAGAACTCTTAGTGAGCTCTTCCAAAACAAAGCAAGGCAGAAAACAGCAAAAATGGATCTAGGCTGGGTACAGGGAAGACAAATAACCCAGAGACCTGATCTCTGAATTTTTTCCAGTTCTTAATCCACTGGATCCCTTTAGTCTCTTGAAAATGAAGATGGTCTTCAGAGTATGTACACCTGTGAGAATGTTAACTTTAACTGATGGAATTGCTTCAAAGCTGAATGAATAAATTACTGGAAAGAAAATAAGACTGCCAGGCATTAACAACTGTTGAAGCTGAGTGATATATACATTGAGCAGGGAACCATTACCAGTTATATACATAATATATATATTTAGATCTGTTAAATTTTTTTCTACAATTTCTTTAAGAATTTAACTCTGAAGTTGTTTTACTAAAAACAAGCAAAAACTAACTAAATAAAATGGACGAAGTCCCAGGTTAGGCTCTCCTGGAACTCACTAGGTAGCCCATGTCTGCTTCAAACTCATACATAGTAATTCTTCTGCCTCAATTTCTCCAGTGCTAAGATAAGAGGTGTAACCCACTACCCCTGGTGAAAACCAGAGGATTAGAAATCGCCTGCATATCCTATGGTTTCTCTTTGTATTTCTAATAACCTCTTATTCAACTCCTTAAAAAAGCAACTTGAAAAGTGAAACAAGAGCTCCTTATCTCTGTATGTAACATGCACAGCTCTAAAATGCTGTGGTCCTTTTTGCCTAAGCCCACTTCTTAGTCCAGTCTTAAAGGAGTATACAGGGTAAGTAAAACTAAATTAAGGCATCTGGAAGTTACCTTTGTTCTTATACAGCCTTAAACATTTTAATTGCCCTGTTTCAATGAAAACAGAGGGAGAAAAGACTTTTTATCAAGTTCTGTTCCATTAAAAAACAAACAAACAAAAACACCAAGAAGTTATGTGAAGTGCCCTTGTGAAGGTTTTAATCAGGCCAGGCTAAACCGGCGCACAGGATAGCCCTGGCTTTTCTGTTAAAATTCAGGTCTTTCTTTGACATGGACAGCCATGTATGCAAGTGTTACCTTAAAGTTAGGACACAGTCTGCATTAGATCAAGAAGATTCTTACATCCAATTGTGCTAGGTCTCGTGAAGGACCAAGGATGCAAGTGTAAGTTGGCCTTCTGCTTGTGGGATTGAGTCCCATACTATTTCCAAACTGATGTAAATGACAAAGAGGTGGGAAAGGATGCTTTAGCTCCCAACCTCCTCCAATGCCAGGATTGTTGTAACCAGCTCCAGCAAATGCTAAGGTCTAGATCTGTAAGCAGTGGAGTTTAGACAAGCCAGTACTATGCCAGGAATAAGTTTCTGGAGGCTTCCATCTACTCTGTTCTGTAATGTCCAGTGTGGTGAGAGGTAATATAGAGAAAGAAATTTTTCTTCTCTTTGCTGGTCCCCTCAGCTCCTAGAACTGGTAGCACAATTATACCTTTGGGGAAATAGTCTGCACTCAATTAACCAGAAGAGTAAGTACTCACGCTAAGGAAGCTCTACAAGCTACCAGTTGGCTTCACCTGCATTATATGAACTCACCTCACAAACTCCAAGGCAATCTAGATGTTCTCAGAGCAGTGGCTCTCCAGTGTGTGCTCTCTCTAGGATCCACAAGAAATGGGATTAGCTTTCCAAAGAAACATCAGAACACCTGCGAGTATTACAGCACCATTCACAGTGGCTGATACATAAGCAATCTAGCTACCCAACTGGCAGACGAACTGATAAAGAAAATGGGGTCTATATACATGACCAAATATAACTCAGCCATAAAGAGGAATGAAATCCTGCCCTTAGCAGCAAAGTGGAAGGGACAAAATGGTATTGTGTTAAATGACCCAAGTCATACTCATAAAGACAAATACTGCACATTCTTACATTTGTGTGAGAAGAGTAAAACTTGTCAAACTGGATGTAGACTAATGGTTACTAGAGTGAGGAAGGGGAGGGAGGGAGGAAGGTCAGAGAAGAATGGCTAACAAAGAGAATAGTAGGGCCACTGTAGATTCCAATCGCCAATTATAGATTTTATGAAGATTCAGATGAGAGGAGCAGGAGGACACTGATCATAAAGAAAAAAAGGAGGTAAAAATGGTAAATGCCCTTGTGTCATCAGCAGATGCTAAGCATATGTGCTGAAATAACACACTGCTTCATTAACATGGACAATCACCACATGCGTGAGCAAGCAAAATTTTAAATAATGAGTAAATAATTAAAGGCTTTTTAAATGTGTGCTCTCTGGATCAGCAATGTTAGCAGCACCAGAAAAGTTGTCACAGATGCAAATTTCCAATCTTTTTCCTGAGCTCAACTGAACTAGGACGTCTGGAGGTAGTGCCCAGCTCACTTCATCTGTTCACATTACCTCTCTGGTTCCTATATTTACTTTATCAACATTTTGTGGTTTTTCCAGGCAGAATGCTTGGAGTTGATTAACTTAATCCCATCTGCTCTTACTCTGCAGACAATGGGAAAGCCCAAACATAAAAATATTAGCAGTGACATCATCTTACAGATTGTACACGTATAAAACCAATGGTTTTAAAAACCCATTTTCTTTTTTATTTAAATTAATTTCTTTATAGTTTGTCAAGTCTGATCAGGACTGCCTGGATCAATGGTGGAGAAGAGGGAGGAAGGGTGGGACTGGGGGAAGTTGAGGGAGGAGGCTTTAATCGGGATAAATAATGAATAAATTGTGAAAAAAAAATAAAAATGAGAATTTTTAATTTATTTTTTTATAATGTATTCACTTTACATTCCTATTGTAGCACCCTCCCTCATCCCCTCCAAGTCCCACTCTCCCACCAACTTTTTCCCTACCACCTCTCCTATTCCTCAAAAAGGGGGACCCCAGCCTATCAGATCTCATTAAGACTGCCTGCATCCTCTTCCTCTGTGGCAAGCCCCACAACCCCATCAGAGAGAAGTGTTCAAAGACTGGGCAACAGAGTCCATGTCAGAGGCATCCCCTGATCCCCTTACTAGGCGACCCACATGGAGACTGAGCTGCCATGGGCTACATCTGAGCAGGGGATCTGGGTTTTCTCCATGCATGATCCTTGGTTGGTGCATCAGTCTCTGTAGGCTGGCCCCCACCCAGCCCCAGGTTTTTTGGATCTTTTAGTCTTCTTATGGAGCTCCTATCCTCTTTTTCCCTACTCTTTCCAACAATTCCCTGCACTCTGTCCAAAATTTGCCTGTGAGTCTTAGCATCTGCTTTGATCCCTGTTGGATAGAATCTTTTCTAACTTTTGTGCTAGGCCTTTGAGGGTGTTTGCAAGCACAATCAAGAAACAGAGGTTGTAGGATTCCATATGTGAGTAAATAAAATCCGAGTTCATTGATTTCTTGTAATGTGCATAAGGCAACTTTCTGGATAGCATCTAGCTTTCAGAATAGTGCTTAATTATACTTTTCCAGGGCACTCAGACATGACACACCCCTTGCCAAATGTGGGCAAGCTGATAACTGAAGAAAAAAAAAATGCTTGCTTCATTGCCTCTGGATTTAGAGGCCCGTTTAGCATCCTGAAAGTCAGAGACTGTATCTGATATTGGCTGGATTTGGTGGAGCCTTCAATGAGACCTTAGTTTCTGTGGTCACCAGTTATCTTATTTGAGAGAATATTTGAGAGTCTCTGGTTTGCCTGCTGTTGGATACTCCTGTTGGGCTAAGGATGGGTACGTGACTAATATCTCACAGGCTCCGAGATGATCAGCCCCAGGCATCACTCTTGTTTCTGGAACAATGAGACCAAATCTGTTCTGCAGAACATGCACACCGCATGTTCTTGGGCCCTTCAGAAGTCACCCGGATGAATTCTAACAGCCTGCTTTTCCGCCAGGGTTTTGGATGATGGTCGCTGTGTTTTGAGCTGTCCCTCATGGAAGTTCGAATCTAAGAAGCAATGCCATCCGTGCCACCATACTTGCCAAGGATGCAAAGGAAGTGGGCCTTCGAACTGCACCTCCTGTAGGCAAGGTGAGGGCTTCTCCCTTGCCTCAGTCTGTTCTCTCAACAGCCAGCATTTGGTTTGGTTCAGAAGCCTGTGGCAGGGCTGAGGTTCAGGCAGACAGCTGTTCATTACAGCACCAGCACAACCGGAAAGCTCAGTTATAGCCAGGACACAAAAACCTTGTTCACATAATCACACATGTTGACTCACTGCCCCTAAGGAGATGAGACAAGTGAAAAGAGGTCTTCTCAGGGAAGCAAACGGGAAGAGTATTAAGTGTGTTGTTGAGCATGACAGGCACAGGAAAGCCAAGCTTTGCTGTGGTAAACATGAAAAGCTAGGGAATTAAGCGAGACACATACATCCCTAAAACCAAGAATGCGTTAAAGGTTATGTCAGGTCTCAGAGCTGAGCTGTGCCATTTAGATGGCAAGGTAATCAATTCATGCGTGACAGATGTGACCTTCTGGGTGCAGTCTGAGTTACTCTCACAGAATCTGCCATCATTGGCATCACTGCCATGTCCTCCAAGTTTCTCTGCAGTGTAACTCTTGACACTGTTCCGGCCTTGTTTCACGTGCCTGTCCTCTATGTTGGCTTCATGTAACCTATAACCACATTGTTTTGCCTATGTGGTAGAGTTGAGATGTGAGGCAAACTTATAGTTCATGCAGTTTTAAAGAAAAAAAAAAAAAAAAAAAAAAAAAAACGTGGGCTCTTGGTTACCAGGAAATAGCTGGATGATGGGACTGTGCTGGACCCATTATCTTTCCCAAAGATTTTTGAGGCCAAAGCCTCAAAGCGGCTACTCTACATTTCTCCACAATCCCTACTGTGCCCAGTTGTCTCACTACCCTGGGGTGGCTATTATCATCACATCCACCATATCTGTATCATCTGTCTAGTGAAAGAGACTTATTTGATTTTTATTCTTGCTTACAGTAAAATCAAGAAAAATGAAAAATAAATGTCAGTATCTTGGGTTGGCAGGAATACAGTAGATTGGAGCCCTGCGCTTCCCTCTCATTCACCTTGTCACTCTTAATAACTATCTCTTGTCTATAAAGACCCTCTGCCCCAGAAGAATAGTGAATGCTTTCTATGCTGTTTTCTGCTGCGGTCTGAGCATGAGGCAGTGTCGGACATAGAGACTGTGCACACACAGCAGGTAAGGGAGAGAGCGCCTGGGTCAGGAGTAAGATGCTCAAGACTAGCAATCAGGAAATGGACAACTCTCCTATCATCCTACATATGTTTGTTTATTTATTTACTTCTCATAAGCTCTCCTATATCCAGGCTGGCCTCAAACTCACTCTGTAGCTGAGGATAACCTTGAGCTTCTGACCTTCCTGCCCCTACATCCAAGGCTGGGATTATAGGCATGCACTTGTGTGCCTGGTTTTATGCAGAACTGGGGTTCAACCTTTAAGGCCTACACATGCTAAGCAGGTACCCTATAACTGAGCCACATCCCCAAATCCCAGCTTTCTTACTAACTAGAGGACACTAAAATAGTTACTTTAAACCTCTTCTAATTTTTTTTTAATTAGAAAGAACAAATGGGCATTTCGAATCACCCATCAAACACTCTACATCTGAACATAGGTCACAAAACTAAAACAAAGTTTAGACTCTACACAAATGTCAGATAGTCTAAGCATCTTTCTACTGCTTGTATCAAGCCACATGAAAAGGACTTGGGCATTTTCCCATATTTTCTTCTTGGAGAGCTACATTTCAGGGAGGATTGACTAAGAGAGAAATGTATCTCTTAATGGAGGCTGTTCCATCCCATAAGCTGGGATCCAGATGGAGTGGTAGTGTGGGGGTTAGTATGGGAAAATCTTCTCTGCTGTGTGGCTTCCAGGAAGTGTGCTTCTCTACTCCACCATGGCCTTCCTGCCGTGACATGCTGACACCTTTGAAACTGAGAGTCAGCATAAGTCTTCTATCCCCTTAAGTGTTTATGTCAGGTATTTCTGTCACTGCAATTAAAAAAAAAATGACTCACTGTCAAGGAGTTTACAGAATAATAAGGAGGTTTGTCCTCACATAGTAAACAATAAAATACTATCAGATAAAGACCAAATGAGCAGTCAAATGCTGCAACAGATCATTTCCATATGTGATGAGCAGGTTTCCTGTAGAGGGTAATTGTGTACCAAGCCCTTTTTTAACATATTCTCCACACAATGAAAGCCCAGACTAACACAGCAAGGCTAGCCTGTGCCCTCAGGTTACTCCGCTGAAGACAAACGCTTCACTGAGAGAAACCCCACAAAGGAAGCTTTAATGAAAGGCTGAGATGTCAGCAAAGCTCATGTGGTTCAGGCCAAGATTATGCCGACTTCAAGTTTCTGTCCTTGTGACACGGGACTACTCCCGTCTTTATCCACACACTCAGCATCCTTGGAGCCTGAAGGTCAGTGGTTTGAACCTCCATGTGATAGCTCGCATGCTGAGTGAAAACTAGACCTGGGTTACTCGAGGCAACACACATCAGCTGTTGTGCAGAGGTGGGGCCATGTGGGAAAACCGATCATTCAGTAGAATGAGTAGATGGTTGCCCAGAGCTCACTGAGCTTCTCAAGTCCCCAAAGCCAGCAGTAAGAGGCTCCCAAGTAGAAACATAGTATTAATCCTAGTGTTGTTTTTTAAAAATATTTGTGGCTGTTTATAATCCTCCGCAAGTGATCCTGATATTTTTCTAACTGATTAGATTTTTCTATTTGCTCCAGGAATAAATTCCCCATGTTCTATCATGCTGGGAAGTTGCTGATTCTTCTCTCAAAGAGCCGGGTGTTGACAGAAAGAAAACCCTTAGGGATGGTGTGGAGGTGTGTTTGATTTAGGGTGTCAATAAGGCTGCCCTTAGAACAATTAGTAGCTTTGCAAAAACCCAGACATTAGTCAGTCCAAGCATGTGATTTTAATAGTGATTCCAAATCATTGCAAGATTACACTTTTGTCAAGTATATCTGCCACGAAGCACGTGTTCATTCTTACGGAGTCTCTGCAACCCCAAGTCTGAGTGGGTCTGCCTTGACCAAAAGGGGCCCTTGGGGAAGTTAAACACGTTTTGAATTGTAGCTTGGTTTGTGGCGTTACAATGACATCCCAAACCGAAGCTGTTCACGCAAATATATAAAATAGTGTAAAATGATTCCCTGCAAGAAAAACTTTTCAGCAGTAAGGATACAGATATTGCACTTTTTTTTATTAAATCCATTCTGATGCTCTTGGTCCTCTAGGAACAAAAGCGTTCCGGTTTTGTTTTTGTTTTTGTTTTTTTCTCTTTTTAATAAAACGTCTTGCATTATATGAGTTCCGTAGCTGGTTTTGCACTTTCTCTTTCCCGTGCCCCCCTAACTGCTCAGACAAGCATGGTCGGGAGCGCTTCCTGTACCAGGGTGAGTGTTGGGAGAACTGCCCTGTGGGCCATTATCCTGCCGAGGGACGTGCCTGCTTGCCCTGCCCGGACAACTGTGAGCTTTGCTCCAACCCACATGTCTGCACTAGATGCAGGAGCAGCTACTTCATCACCCCCGCTGACCACACCTGCCGGAAGCTGGAGTGCGGACAAGGTGAGGCTTCTCTGGTTACTGCTCCGCACCAGGAGGTGGGGCCAGAGGTTATACCCACTGGGCATCAAGGGGCTTTGACTTACTTTCTTTTTTATTTTTATTTTTATTTTTATTAATTACACTTTATTCACTTTGAATCCCCCATAAGCCCCTCCCCCCTCCCCTCCCGATCCCACCCTCCCTCCCCCTTCTTCACGTATGCCCCTCCCCAAGTCCACTGATAGGGGAGGTCCTCCTCTCCTTCCTTCTGATCTTAGTCTATCAGATCACATCAGGAGTGGCTGCACTGTCTTCCTCTGTGGCCTGGTAAGGCTGCTCCACCCTCAGGGGGAGGTGATCAAAGAGCAGGTCAATCACTTCATGTCAGAGACAGTCCCTCTTCCCATTACTATGTAACCCACTTGGACACTAAACTGTCATGGGCTACATCTGTGCAGGGGTTCTAGGTTATCTCCATGCTTGGTACTTGGTTGGAGTATGGGTCTCTGGGAAGACCCCCATGGTGTTAATATGAACCCATGGTGTTAATAATTAGAACAACTCTGAGTAACTCAGTTAGCAAGTAGGGCTGCGGGTACCTTCCCTTCCTCCTCCCCAGCCCCACAACATTTCCCCAAGTTTCCCCAACAACAGAGGAAAACTGGGGTTAAAATCTCAAAGTCTTAGCCAACAAGTTTCTCCTCAGTTACTAGGAATGAGACCTTGGGCCAAAACAATCTTCTTTGCCTGTGTGCTGGCAGCTTCATTTGTAACCAGGCCAGCATAACAGCAAGTAGGACTGGTATGGGAAGCAACAGAATCAGTTTACCAAAGCCTACTTGAAATTTTTGAATGCTCTGACTTGTATGCTGTTGTCACTGTTCAATTTCCTTGTGATATTGGAAGATGATAAATTTAGTACCAGTTACTATGTTTGCTCTCTTACATGTAGCAGCTCCTCTACATAAGGATTACCGCTGGCCCATGGCTGAAGACAGGTTCACGATATTTTAAATTAAGCACTCCTACGTCTTCCTTTTTATGGAGACAGTATTTTTTTTTTATTTTAACTATGTTTAACAGGTCAGACATAGAATCTGTTCATTTACACATCTAATTCCATTTTCTTAGACATGGTACTAATTTGTTTAATAAATCCCATCTACTAGCTTGACTTTAAAATTAGTTATACGGCCAATCATGGTGGCTCATGGCTCTAATCTCAGTGCTCAGGAAATTAAAGCAATGAGTTTAAGGCCAGTACAAGCTACCTACTGAGTTCCAGGTCAACAAAAGTCTGTCTCAAAAAACAAAGTGAAACAAGCAAGTGAGCAAACAAACAAACAAAAAGACTAGTTATATGGAATATTGTCTAATCCAGTTGTATTTGTACCCACTTGAGTGGTATAGTCTGTTAAAATAAGACATGATTTTAAAGTATGTGGCATTCTTCTTCAAGATGGTTTTTGGGTTTCATAATTGTCCTGTGATTCACTTAAAAATAAACCACATACCAACATGACTTCATAGCAATGAACATGCTTCCACTCAAAGGTTTTGAGCTGTGTTTTCCATTCCTCTTACTGTCCAGGTGAATTCCAGGACTCTGAGTATGAAGAATGCATGCCTTGTGAGGAAGGATGTCTGGGATGCACCGTGGGTATGTCATGTTCCTTTCTTACTTAAAAATCTAAACAGCGGTGTCACTTGTCACACATCCTGATGTTGCCATTGTTTCAGCAAGGAGTCGTTCCTCTGAAGTAGTCATCAATGTCCTCATCGTTATCCGTAGTACAGACAGCATCACAGCGAAGAGATGCTAAGAAAGCAGTACTGTCAAGCTTAGGAAAGGATGGTGATGTCTGCCCTGTGGTTGTTACGTAGTTTGGGGGGATACTTTTCAGCAATCATGTCTGAAGGCGCCTGACGCTCCTGACAAGAATGAAACAAAGAAATGCCATTGGCTGTAGCTCACGTAGTGTGTGGAACACAAAAGCTGGCAGGTAGAGAAACAGGGAGCTCTCCTTTTGTAGAAGTGGAGCCTAAGACAATATTTTGTACTATGGTGATGGGGAAGTCAAGATTGCCATTACTCAAAGACAAGCATCCATAATCTCCAGTTCAAGCCTGGAGCTCCCAGTCCCTTCCCTTTCACACTGGTGGTGAGGGAGGAGGCGGGGTTGGTTTATTGAACATAACATCAGGGAGTTGGATGAAAAAAAAGGTAAAGTAGGGAGACCGTGATTTCTTGCCTACACTTTTATGTAAGCCTAAACTTATAGAAAACAGCTTATAGGATCTGTGAAGGAAAATCCCAGCTGGAACAAAGGTTCATGGAGTAATTTCTCTTTGTGGGGATGTCTGTGGAGGCCTACCTCTAAAATGTTACTATGCACAGATCACATAAGAAATCTGTCAAAACAAACCTGTTAAAAATTTGTCAAAACAGCAAACAAGCTGTTCACTGAGCTCCCTACAATTTGCTCCATAGAACACTTGCAAAGTGGTAAATCATGCCACAGCAAAGTAGACCTTATATTGGCTTTACCTACTAGACTTTTTAATTGATTAATGATTGATTGATTATTTTCTCATACAATACATCCCAACCACAGTTTTCTTTCCCTCTACTCCTCCCAGCCTCCCCCAACACTTCCCATCTCCTCCAGATTAACTCCTCCTTCATTTCCCTTTAGAAAGGAACAGGCCTCCCAGGGATATTAACCCAACACAGCGTAACAAGATTCAATAAGACCAGACTCATACCCTCCTATCAAGTATCAAGTCTGGGCAAGGCAACCAGTAGGAGGAAGGGTCGCAAGGGCAGGCAAAAGAGTCAGAAACACCCCCACTTCCATGTTAGGAGCCCCACCAAAAATGCCAAGCTAACAACCATAACATGTATGCAGAGAACCTAGCACAGGTCCATATAGATTCTGTGATTGCTGCTTCAGTCTGTGTGAGTCCCCACCCCACTCTGCTTAGCTGATTCTGTAGGTCATGTTTTTACGGTGTCCTTGACCCCTCTGACTCCTACAACTCTTCTTCAGCCTCTTCTGTAAATCCCTTAATTTTTAAACATTATATATATGAGATATAGTCTATCTGAGGCTTTAGAGACTTGAATATCATTCCTTCATTATCATCTACTGTGGATTGAAAAGATGAAATACGATAATAGTGTAAAACTTCAGATGGACGTGACAGATGTAAGGGTAAATTTTTAAATTCTAAATATTTGGGAAGCAAAAGTATATTTAAACACAAGTAATAAAGGTACTAAAACTAAAATGTTGACAACATATTTTTTATACTTTGCTTATGGATATTTTAATTATGTATTCTGTTACAAATTACAGTCTTTCTTAGGATGTCACAGGCAACTTTTCTGGCAGCAATGATAAATGTTCTGATGGTCTTGATTTTACATTTTGTCCATTTTAGAACTATTTCCCACTCAGGGACGCTACCCCAACTGGATTTCTTTGTCACCTTCACCATTGTGTGTGGGGCACCCTTGCCTGCATCTCTGTGTATCACAGTGCGGGGAGTGAGTGCTTGTGTGTGTTGTGGGGTGGGTCACATCTTACTTTTTATCTCTCTCGGCTATGTTAGTGATGACAATAGAACAAATCCACGAAATTAAACATAGGTTTTTTTTCTTCACCTTTAAAACGAACTGAAAATAATGTACATTTGAGAACTCCCTCCAATTCGGATGTCATCTTAAAAAGAATATGGCATTGTGTGATATTACTTTGGGAGAGTGAATAAAAATCTGCTCATACCAAAAAAGTAACTGACGACAGACCAAAGTACATATACCACCAAGCTCAAAGCCAGCTGCATCATCAAAGTCCAACCTAGTATGGGAGACAGCTCATGACACCTGGAAAAATCTAGACCGTAGGAACAAGCTTCAGGCAGCTGCAAAGGTTGGAGAGTGTCCTTTCCAAGCCTCTCAGCTGTTCTGAGTCTCTTCTAGGCAACTATGTTTGTCTTAGAGTATATGTCTAAGAGAGAGAGAGAGACAAAAACAGAGACAGAGACAGGGAGAAGACCCTAGTTAGTCTAGTCAGTTTCGGGGACTTCCTGAAGCTATTTTGAGATGTTTACTTTCTGAGCTTAATGAGCTTCCCTGCAGGATGGAATGTTTCACCTCCTCCAACAAGCACCCTGTATCTTAGTGATCTTCCCTCCAAGACACTACACGACATTTGTGAACAGGGCAATAATGACCACTGGGGGATTCAGTGTTCACTCTTTTCCACACAGACACAACTAAAGAGGAGACAGAGGAAAATCAATTTCACAGCAGACAACTGGCCAACCAAGTACTCAAAATCCACAAAGTCTACTGAGCTGATAAATCAGCTTAATTCACTTTACAAAGTGTTATTTAAATATCCAATTCATTCCTTTGTTTAGAAGACTTTAGCTATCTGCTGTGTGCCAGGTGCTCACTACGGCACTGGGAATTGAAAGGTGGTACTGGCAGGCACCCTGTAATAAAGCTGTGCCATGACAGACATACCTGAGACAAACATCTTTACAAGATTGGCCCAGAGTTTGGGCCAATTGGAAGGATGTTCAAAGTGACAAAGGTGACAAAAACTTTTGAAATGCTGAGTTTTCACATTTTAAATTCTAACATTTCTCTTCATTTATAATTTTTTTTTATGTTGGGTCTATGTGTTATTGGATTGGTTGGTTGATCTCAACCATGACCTCATTTATGAGCCCCTGTGATCTCTCCAGTGGAATAATCCCTCCTCCCTTCTCCCTGTTATGTGTAGGCTGCTATGACATTGGTCTTACATTTGGTATGTGCATATCTTTCGGCCTGACACTAAAGGGCTTACTTGAGAATAAACTCTCTGACCTTCGTCGTCTGCTCCATAAGAAAAGCAGCGGCCCAGGATCATACAGCACTCTGCAGTTAATATGCAAATGTCCCTTGCTTGTGATGGCTTAGCTAACAGTGCTCTGAATCTACCATGGTGTGACAATGATCTTAAGGTTTTAAATTAGGATATTTTTCTGCCTTGGCATAAAATGCATAAAAAATTTCCTCATATTGCTTGGCAGCAGCAAACCTCAGCTGCCAGAAAGTCATATGTTCAAAAACAAACAAAGCCATGATTCTGCTCTGTGGATAGCAATTCTTCAATATACTACAAGAGATAGGCAATGATTTATTAGAAAATAATATTGTGTTTGAGGCAGTTGCTCAAGTGTAGACTAATATGTTCAGAGACTATATGAAAGAGAAAGAGAGTCTATATCCTAGACTCTAGAATATGCTTGGATGTTTGGTAGTCCAAGAGCATTAAATACATTTTATTTGTTCCACTGAGAATGAGTTTATCAAGACATAGCTCCATTGTAAGTAAAAACAAAACATATACGTAAATGTTTACTAGTTTGAATTTAAGGATTTCTCAAGTTCAAAACAGAGACAAAGTTCACAAGACTCAGGGGTTCAGAGTCAAGGTTTTCTCTAAATTTTGTATGCAGTCAATAAAAAAAATAATATAATAAAAATGATTTTATAGAATATTAGAACAGAAAGATTTGATAAAAACATGGTTGGTTGCATTTTATAATTTTAGAAGATAAGAATGGAAACTTTAAAAGATATGAATAACTTAACAAGATCTGCCCAAAATTCTTCTTGTGAAACAAAACGTCATTCTTTGGAGAGAATTTCATTTTATTCCATCTCAACAATGCAGATTCTTATTTGAAGGGTCTAGACAATCTCTGGAGAAATTAAGGACAAGTAAAAGCAGACATTTGAGACATTTTTATCTATGCTATGTCATAAACAGTTGTTGTAGATGCTAGGAGTATTTTGAGAGTTTTGTATTCCTTTTCAGATATTTAGATACATTAATGTCTATATTTTACAACTAATAAGACAAAACTTGATTCCCAGGTTGAGAGGAATCTCAGCCAGCTCCAGGGAGGGACTAGGCCTTGTCGTTTCAAGAAATATTTTCATAAAGGAAACAGAGAACTAACTCGTGATCAAAAAAAGCAGTTGTTTTGTCTGGAGGAAAACACTGACTTTGAGAGTAGAGTATGGAGCGAAAGGTGTTTTATTATTATAGAGTGAGTTTCTATTTTTTATCAGTCTATAAACAAACAACATTTCCATTTTATTCTAAGAAGAGCTGATGTCACACTCTTTGTCTTTCTAACAAGTATCTTCGGGTGACACTTTTCACAAAGGCAAATATGAGTGTTTGGGATTATAATTTGACTATTTGAGAGTGAGTAAATGGAGCAATTTTAAGTGATGTTTTGAGGCATCCTTCACAATTTTAATTTAATGAATGTAGTAATAGGTATAACCTGAGATTTGAGCTCTACACTTATTTACCCATTGACTTAATAAATGGATTTTAATCAATTTGCATAACCTCATTAATAAAAACTCTAGAAAACATAATGAAAATCCATTAATTTCTTTTGTTCTTTGAAAGGAATGTACATAGTTGAGCAAATATCTTTTTTGTATGGTGGAGCATCTTTTGCATGTAGGCCCAGGAGTGATATAGCTGGGTCCTGAGGTAGTGCTATTCTCAGTTTTCTGAGAAAGTGTTGGATTGATTTTCAAAGTGGTTGTACAAGTTTGCACTCCTCTTTCTCTACATC